CTCGCCAAGCTCGATCCTAGATTCTTCTGCGAGGCACTGTTGCACAGCTTAAAACTGAACCAGAAGGACTTCAAATTCGGCATTACCCGAGTCTTCTTCAAGCCAGGCAAGTTCGCGGAATTCGACCGAATCATGAGGTCCGATCCAGAGAATCTGCGTAGGCTGGTCGCCAACGTGAAGAAGTGGCTGCTGAAGTCGCGCTGGAACAAGCTGCAATTCTGCGCGTTATCGGTGATCAAACTGAAGAATAAGATCATCTATCGCCGGCAGCATTTGATTGTGTTGCAAAAGACAGCGCGAATGTACATCGCGAAGAAGCAGCATCGACCGCGTATCCGTGGCATCATGAAGATAAAAAATCTGCGGAAGCAGCTGACACGAATGGAGGAGACTGCGAGTCAATTGAAGAATCGAGAAAAATCGACGCAGGATATGAAGAGGCTCGATGACGACTTAGAGGCGGCTATACGCAAAATCAAAAACAATTCGAAGATCGCGCCGACAGAGATCGACGGTCTCTACACGTCTTTAGTGAATCAAGTAAACAAGCAAATGGCTGCTCTTCAAGAAATGGTGAAGCAGCAAAAAGTTGCCGAGGAACAGGCAAGGTTGAGGAAGATTCAGCAGGAACTGGAGCTGGAGAAGAAGCGAAAAGAGGACGAGGAACGTAGGAAGAGAGAGGAGGAGGACAACAGGCGGAAAAAGCTGGATATGGAAGCCAGAAGAAAGGTCGAGGAGCAGCAAAGGAGGAGACAGGAGGAGGAGGATCAAAAGACCGCAGCTGCTCTCCAGGTTCGGCGAATTTCTATGTGATGCATTAATTTAGAAGCCAATTAACAAATTTCATATAAAAATCTATATTATTATAAACATCTTTATAGTTGCAAATTGTTTAGCTCACATTTCAATTAAAAAAAAAATTAATACAAATAATTCGAAATTTTTTTTACAAAGAATTGGAATAATCAAACAATTTTTCTTAAATGGTTATTAATATACATTGTACTCTTATTTCTGTTCGTTATTTGAAGGCCCAATTGGAGAAGGAAGCTATGGAAGAGAGTCGGTTTCGAGAATTGCTGGAGCAAGAAAGAAGAGATCACGAATTGGCGGTCAGGCTTGCTCAAGAGTCGAACGGACAAGTCGAGGATTCCCCACCGCCTACGCGAAGGTAAGATCTTTCTTGTCAATTAATATAATTGGTTCATGCAAGTGTATAAGCGATTTCTAAATCATTAAAATTAAATATTTTTGTCTAACGCATTAAAGAAATCGCGCGATCTTGAATAGTATCTCCGATAATTAATGTAATTTAAGCAAAATGCACGCGGTTTGTAAACCAATTCAACGTACTGATTATTTTGTCAGTTGACATTTTATCTAATTGTAATTCCTTGGATACCTAATCGATAACATGTACTGTATTAAATTTATCGGTCCAAATACGATTCTGACGTCGCGCGGAGAAGAATCATATAAAACGTTGTCCAAAACAGAAATAAGATGTTATTTTGTTGTTTAAATTGACGCAGTGGCTCCGATGTACGAGCACCTATGAACAACAACAGACTAATAAGGTATCGTATAATTGCTCGGGTTTTTCGCATGAGAGCTAAACGACTAATACAGTTCACTTTCACTTTTCTCGAATTAACCCTCGTCGTCCGCAGCGACCAACGTCCATTTTCCAGCGACCGATTCTTCCGGCAAATTCTTATTCCGCAAATAAATCGTCGAAGAAGACGCGCCCAATGAGAACACTAACGTGCGAATCAACATCGAATCCAATATCGAAACCGCGTCCCAATCGTCAGTTTTCGAAAATAATTGAGTTTTGGAACTTTATTTTTTGTGTTAAATTTTATATTAAATAAGTTAACTTGGCAGTTCTTCCCAATAGGACCTTAAAGGTATTCAGACCGTAGTGATTTAATACATAAACTAAAGTTTCGAAACTTAATTATTTTCGAAAACTGACGGTTGGGACGCGGTTTCGTTGGCTCGACGTTAGTGTTCTCATTTTCGAAGGATTTGTCATGGAGAATAGACGATTCCATTTTCATACTTTTTCAGGCATGCTACTAACCGTAAAGATTTATTTTCGCATTTTCAGACTCTTGCGTAGATTCCCTTTTTTACTCACTTTAAGTCGCGTGGTCTAATAATTTTATTTCGCACTAACTTCCTCATAGAATAACGCCGCGTGTATTAGCGCTCAGCATATCCCAATCTCAAAGTGTTGTGTTACGAAACCGCGGTTACGTATTATTTTCTTACGAGTATCTGTCATGCGATGTAGATCGGAGCAGGTGCGTAACCAGCAGGCGGCTATGAGCAACAAAAAATACGACTTGTCTAAATGGAAATACTCGGAGCTGCGAGATGCAATCAATACGTCCTGCGACATCGAGTTACTCGAAGTACGTGCACGCATATATCGATTGAATAACCGTAATTTTTTTTTTAATCTAAAAAACTGCTCATTCCAGGCCTGCCGTCACGAGTTTCATCGCAGACTGAAAGTTTATCACGCTTGGAAGGCGAGAAACCGCAGGAGAACCATCATGGACGAAAACGAGAGGGCACCGAAGTCCATCATGGAAGAAGGTAAATAATTATAGTGGCTGCAAATTAATCATTAAAAAATAGTGTCAATTGCAATTAGATTAATACGTTAATTAGCGATGGATTGGTGGCGGTAGATGACTGATAAAATACGAGGCATATTCGGAAATTAAGGTTACAACGTATCTGTAGCTCCAAGGAAAATTTTTCGTTAAGTTTAAGCATTCCTGCATGAAAAAAGGAATCTTACTGACTACGTTTCCACCGAGGGTCAGAGTCGGGCTAGAGTCGAGTCAGAATCGGGTTGGGGTGAGCGCTTCGCGGTGGAAACACCAAATTCAAACCTGAACCCTACCTTATAAAATTTTAAAGCGACAAGAGTCTTGTTAGGTTCCTGTAGTGTTATGTATGTCATATAAGTATCAATAATAAATATGCATTTTTCGACTTTTGTAGAATGTTGTAACCTTAATTTCCGAATATGCCTCGACTATTACGACCTGCGAGCGATATCTTAAGCGAACGGTACCGCGATTGCGGTTTTTCAGCTGCGAAAACACCAAGGACACCGTTGAAGCAACAGATAGTCGAGTCGTCTCAGAGATATTTCCGAATTCCCTTTGTCCGTTCCTCCGCGGCCGGGCAACAGGAAAACACGCACGGCGGCGGCAAGAGAGGCTGGTGGTACGCACATTTTGACGGGCAATACGTGGCGCGGCAAATGGAACTCCATCCCGATAAACCGCCTATACTCCTTGTGGCAGGTAAAGCCCCACGGCATACATCGCATTTATCGTTCTATATATTACTCATGCTAATGCGAACGCTCTGTATTGCAAATAACGATTTGAATCGAAGTGCAGTTTGAAACTAATGAAATGACCCAGGTCAAAGCGACCAGCCTTGTGAGACATGATAAATTAACGTAACTACCAAAGACAAATGAAAGCACAAGGCTACATAGAATGATTACCTATACTTTTTCACAGGTAGTAAAATATAGTTGCTAAAGTTTTTACGACTTCGCAGAAGTGACAGAAACGCTCTTGCCGTTAACTGGATGCAGTTATGCAATAGGGAATCAAGCGATATTTTCGTGATTTTCAGTTCTATATTGCGAAGTAAAGCCTTACATATTATATAAAAATAATCCAACTCTCATAAAAGAAACCGCATATAATGGAATTGTATTTGAGGAGGATTGTACATATAGTTCAGTCGTTATACTTGGGATAACGTTGGCACAAAATTTTCTTAATGTATTAATAAGTAAGGTTTCGCATCGCAAAACTGCATCCAATTTGTCTTAGACTTTGCCCGTTGAGTCATACCGACATAAATAATTTTTATTTCAAAGCTATTATTTTCTTTTTGTCAGGTGTCGACGATATGCAAATGTGCGAATTGAGCCTGGACGAGACCGGATTAACGAGAAAGCGCGGTGCCGAGGTTCTAGAACATGAATTCAATCGCGAGTGGGAAAAATACGGCGGCAAACCATATGTAGCACCGTGCGATCGCAAAAAGTGAAGAATTCGCAATGAAATAATGAAAAAAAAATTTGTGTCACGTTGTGAAAAAGAAACGGTACATAAATCAACGCGGAAATTTGCGATGGTATTTATGTATCTTACGTAGTTTTTCGTCCGATAAACGCATCGGCGAACCTGTGCCTTGCGAGACGTGCCTTGTGCATTACGGCACGAACGATACATTCGTGGCATAACATATTGCGTCACGGTTACGTAAGTCGAAAAATTTTTTCATCGATATGTTATCGAATATTAAAAGTCCTAGTTTTCTTTAGAATCTAGCTTCTAGCGATTATCAACCGACCAGTATTCCACAACGCGTTCCACAAAAAGAAAATCGGAAATACTTACATCGTAACTTTTGAAAACGTGTGAGAAACACAATCACAATCAGTTCTTTCGCGGTGAAGTTTCCTTAAACATTTAATTCTAAAACATTCAATCGACAAGTCATTTATAAATTCTGCAAGCAGAAGTTAAGATATACAGTATTTAGAGCTTCCTTATGTTAAGCTTGTGCATCGTTAGTTACATTCGCAAGCTAGAAAAACCTTAGTATTTACAAGATTCGTTTACGTTGGTTTAGTAATGACAACATGTAGTAAATAAGTCATTCGAAAGAGAAATGGTAATAAAAAATTCAGAAAAAAACGAACATGAACAATTCATATTATTAGTTGTACTATGCAAACCGAATGATTTTGTGAATGCGGTGATATATATAATATTTCGAGATAAATTTTGCATAGATTTTGCGCGATAAGTAATAGTTATAAAGTGGTGATCTCATTCGGGTGACCTATATTAGAATCCACGTGGTTGCTGCGCATATGAATAATTACACGAAGATATAAATATTTATATAAATATATTAATAAATCCTCAACAACAAAGAACATGTATATTTTATTTGAAAATATAATATGTATATAGAATACATAGAATATATAGAAACATAATAGCATATCGAAATATTGTAGAAGTCGCTGAAGCAGATCATTATGAGATGTCTTACTTGTACGCCTTTGTAGCAAACACGGCTTCTCCGAACTTGAAGTAATTTCTTTACAAAATAAATTAAAAGCCTTCAGGCATTCATTCACTTATCGCCACCGATGGTGGTACCCAACCACCGAAGGCTATCTCCAGTTCTTTCGCAACCGCCAGGCAAAGACGGTCTTGATACGGTGAGGCTATGACCTACGAGTTTTTATACGTATCACGCGACAAATCGATTATTACATCTGGTTAATTATTCATGCGTTTAAAATTTTTACATTATAAGAAACGGAGAAAGGAAAGAGGACTTTGCTATTTAACCCAAGTTGATTAATTGAGCCTCACCTGAACGCCTACAGGCATCCCCTCGCGATTAAGTCCCATCGGTACGTGTACAGCAGGAAATCCGATAACATTGAAAAGACTACAGCTCGAAAAGGACAACAATTCGAATAGCATTAACTGCGGGAGAAAGTGAGTTCGGAAGGTCGGGTAGATAAGTACTCCGTTATCCCCCAACAAATTCTACAGAAGAAAACGGCGAGTGTAGAAAACGGGTAACGAGTTGTCTCGTACAGACGTGATTATTATGCCGGACTTTCAGGATACTAACCAGCAGCTTCTGTCGAATCTCATCTGCCTGTTTCGTGTAATGCGATATATTTGATTCGCTAAATGGAAAATGTGTCTGAAGCAGCGTATTGAAGAAGAGCGCCTGTTTCGTGTGTTGCGACAGACCGAACAGAGCCTTTAGCAGTTCGATCGGTGGATTTTTCTGGTGCTGCGGAAAATAGGAAAAATTACACAGTAAAAATCGTGTGTTTAAATGTTCAAATTTTCTTGAGTTATCAAGATTTGATTATTATTTAAACGTGAAATTGACATAAAACAGATACGTTATTATTTTCGTAACATTTTCATGTTTTATATTTGTGTTAACATAATAACTTGACACTTTATGTATGTCATTTAAAAATTGAGTATTACTTTGAGTTCTTTTAACACGACTGTTTCACAAAATCAACCAAAACATGTAGTATCGACATTTCTTAAAAATTATTTTAACTATTCTAATTTGTAACTCTATCGTACGATTTTCTTATCCTGTCTGTTTTATTACATCACACTTAAGGTGATGTAATAATTAAGTAAAATTAAGTTAAAAGAACATAAATATAAATGTCAAATGTAGTGTTAATTAATTAACATTGATAATTTGTCAAAAAGTAACACGCGATAAATGTTATTTTAACTTAAAATTTAGAGTGGACTCTTTGGAACATGTAAAAACTGTTAACGTTAACATTTTATTTTTTACTGTGAAATATCAAAATCAATACGAAACTCGACTCTAATATAGTCTTTACATGTAGATGTAATATGTATATGTATAGTGCAAATATACACATAATGTAATATTAAGGATATGTAAATACACAACGTGTAAAACAGAAGATTATTTATATATGTATATCTTTTGTTTTATTTCTCGGTCGCTATTATATTCTAACAATGATATCTATGCGTTACAACATTGATAAAATAACGCATTCCACTTCTGAAATAACGTTGCGACAATATTGCGTTACGCGGCTGCAATACCGTAATACTTTACAGTGAAATACGTTCGCTGTTTTTTTTTTTTTTTGCGAACGTATGGAAAGGGCACGAACGTGACGTGACTTTCACGTGCGGAAAATAAGCTGGTCAATTGAATTTTTCTCTTGTATCCCTGCGTAAGACTATTTCAGAAACAGTCAGCGAGATGCTGACAATTGATCTAACTCTTTTATATAACGATTCTCGTGTATTCTACACGGAAGAATTAAACGCGCGTCTTTCATACCTTGGGATTGTCCGTGTCTACCGGTAATTGAGGGACCTCCTGTATATTCATGAAGCTTACTAACACAATTTCGGTAATTGTCACTGGCCACTCTATTGGTAACTGCAATAACAAATTAACGTACGTTAAATCTCTCGCTTATACCGGTAAACCGCTGCAAACACTGTACCTTCTCCGGACGAACTCCATATTTCGCGAAATGTTTAGCGGCTTTCAGAACGTATTCCTCAATTTCCGCAGTCATCGGCAATACGCCGAACGACTTGTCCAAACTTTGCCGATAGTAAACCTTTATTTGCCCCAAGTCCACCGGCACGTCTAAACGCAGGTCGTGATCGCATCTCAATGTCATCACTCTCATAAGCAAGCCGAGATCTTCGGCGTATCTAGTCATCGGGCCGAAGGTCAGTAATTTGTTGAAGTACTTGTCTTTGGTATATGGAGAGTGTCCATCAATTGGAATAACACCTGCGAAACAAGTAGAGAATGGCATTAATATTATAGCCACTTTCTTTAATTTTTCATTTTATCGACGAACTTGTAAAAGATCGTTTTTTAAAAGCCAACAATAGGTTTTTTAACACGTGCACGGTAGAAAACATTTTGTATTTTTGTCGAAATTTTCGTGTTCAATTTTTAACATACTCTTATGTTAATGTAACATATTATAGTTATGTTATTTTGACTTTTCTGAGAAATTATTTACATATTTGCTTTCTATTAAAGCAACATTAAAATTAGAGTGGATAAATTGGGACATGTAAAATGTGTTAAATTCAGCACTAAATTTTTTACTGTGCGTAATGAACATTACCAAAAAATTATCTAAAGCAAATAGTAAGACTTAATTTTAAATTTATTAAAGGATTACAGTAACGAAGAATACAAATACAAGAAGATCGATTTACCGGACGTGGGTTTGTGGCCAAAAATGCCGTTCAAAAAGGCAGGTAATCTTACGGAGCCAGCCAAATCCGAACCAATTCCGATCACAGAGGCACCTGCCCCAAGCAACGCACCCTTAAATAAAAATTTATTTAAGTATCCTCTTCTTTTTATTTAGAGCTTTTCAGACCGTTTAATTTTAAACAAAGATTATGTATATATGTTTGATCGGACACATATGTTAAATCAGTTATAAGGTAAGGATATTGCGTGGTGGTACGTCTATGTTTCTGAGAAAGGAAAGTGCTCTAAGCGAAAGTCATTAACGAGTAATAAATGACAAGGTATTTTGCGCTCGAGCAAGACTGTGGAATTTTTATGTTAACTGAAGTTATCGCCTGGAAGGCAATTCTTCTGGATAATAATCTGCGTTCATGACCGACAAAGCAATGCCAATAATTCTAATTGCTAAGTCGGTTTGCTATAATGAAACTAGGGGAAAATGTTTCTTCTCTTGTAATACTTAGCGTTATTTCAGATTCTTAGATTTGCCAGTAATAAATAACAATAAATAATCCAAAATTGTGAAGGCTCCCAGAAGAAAATTAAGGAAGGAGAAGTGCCAATGTGAGCCACAAAATGAACGGATCTCAGTTCTCACAGTACGAATTAAAATTCTCTCTTTAATGGTATCAAGTATAAATACGTTTCGACCCTTCTTCGGGTCTTCCTCAGTTAGACTCGTGTAACTTCAAATTATCGGACAGACTCATATCTTAAATTGTTAATCAGTCGATCTCTAGATGGTCCCAGACATAAAGAGGCTGAATAACCGTGATTCGAAAGATGAGTCCGTGGCAACGATGTTAGTAAGACTGTCATCTGAGTCTGTCCGATAATTTGAAGTTACACGAGTCTAACTGAGGAAGACCCGAAGAAGGGTCGAAACGTATTTATACTTGATACCATTAAAGAGAGAATTTTAATTCGTACTGTGAGAACTGAGATCCGTTCATTTTGTGGCTCACATTGGCACTTCTCCTTCCTTAACAATAAATAAATTTGTATCGACCTTAACTGGCCCAAATTAAATATATATTAATAGTGTGACGTTAATTTAATATTTATTAATAATGCGACGAGTAATTTTTAATTTTGTATTTTTAACATTATTGTTATCTCTTTAGATCGTGCTTGAAAAGTTTTGATCAAAACCAATGGTCGAAACGTCGCACTATTAATATATATATTAAATTTGAGACAAATTTACTCATTTTTAACTTTATGTTATTCTTTCGAGCTACCTCGTTTGTTTTATATGCATAGACAGTGAATTTTTTCTTCAAAAGTGAAATGGTTTCTGAAATATGTATTTAATGATCAGAGGAGGTGAATTACTTCTCCACCGGACGATCCACCGGGCGAATATCTAGTGTCGTAAGGATTACAGGTGCGGCCGTACACCAGATTTGTACTCTCGAAGGCGCTACACATCTCCGGCGTGTTTGTGACGCACAATGGTATCGCGCCGGCATTTCGGAGTATCTCGATGATCGTGGCATCGCGGTCTGCTTTCATCCCTTTGCGAGGCAAAGAGCAACTTGTGTAGCTGCAACCTGCAATCATAAATGCACATTTACCTCTTAAATAAGATTACGCACAATTGCTGATCGCTTTAATGTACTTAATGCGAATAATATTATGTATTAATCGTATTTATTTATTGTATTTATTAATTGTAAATAATTCAACATATACAAATAATTGAAGCATGCATTTTCAATTTTTGTACATATTTGCGTATGTTTGTTTAAATGCAAAGATGTAAAGAAGTATTAACATCGAGAAACTACGTACTTTAAATTACTCATACCTTTTAAAGCGAAACATTCTTTGATGCTAATTGGAACACCATAGAGCGGCTTTTCTCTTTCTAAAGTCTCGACGTCAACTTTGTCCGTTTTCAATTGTTCGTCGCAGGCTTTCGCCTCGAATATTGCTTTGCTAAATCGGTTGTCGACGACAGCATTAAGAATAGGATTCACGTCACGGATTCGCCTTATATACGCGTCCACCACGTCGAAGCTCGTGATCTAGTTGTTTTTAAATGGATTTAGGATAGTTTCTGATTATACAAACTTTCTGACATTTTTCGTATGTATATGTGTACGAAGTGTGCAGCGATTGTAAAAATTAAAATTTAACGCAATAATAATATGCAATTGGCACAAAGCAAGGAAAAATGATCGCTGGAATTATACACAGAAGAATATCGCTGTAAAAATGTAACAAGCGACTCACCTCTCTCTCTCTAATCTTCTTAGCAAGCTGCGTGGCGCTCAACATGTATATGGGATGAGTTATCGGTGATATACTTGCCGGCTTCTTGTAAATCAACAGCAAGATTCGTCGAAATATTTCATATATAACGTTTAGGATGCCAAACAGTATACGTATTCTCAGCAGCATTGTCTGTAAGATAAGGTATATGCTGTTCATTTATGTATCGCATAAATTATTTTATAAATATATACTTTATATACTATTTCGTAGATATTTTTACAAAAAATTAACGTTTCAACGAAGATATAAAAATTTCTACAAATTTCTATTTCAAGTCAATTTTTTGTAATTAGTTATAGAAATTTTTTCCGCTAGGGAAATGTCCTTCAAATGGCTCAAATCTTCTTTTTCTAACCACTCAACCACTTCCTCATCCATTATTTGAGTCAGGATGTGACATAGCAATTACAAACAGTACCGAAACGTGATGAAACAGGTATAACATTGACACGTACCGAGACGCACTACACGGCGGACATCGCGCATACATATAGAAAGTTCCATCACTAAAGTTGTTGCGAATTAAGAATACATTCGTAATATTTAGAATTTATTTTTAATTTAAGAAGATATTAAAAAAACACGATGTTAAGAAAGCAACTTTTTCAGTGTGGTAAAATGTATGGCAAAATTCCAAACAACTCTCATGAAGTTCTTCGAAATGTTATGTTATCGCACTATTATATGATTTTAAGGATAAATTTTGTAAGAAAATTCTCTCAGTGTAATTAACCTTATACGACACGAATACCTAAAAGCTTGAATTTTTTAATTTTTAAAATTTTTTAATTTTTAAAATTTTAAACTTTTTAAATTTAAACTCAATAATGGCTCGCTCGTAGGTCTCATCGTATATTTGAACAAAAACAATGTGTTAAAGATCTGTGACGGCTCACATTGCCCCTATTGTCTTCAAATATTTAACATCTTAACATTGACTCAATCAGAAGACTAACTTTAATATTGTTTTATTGGAGCCTCACTCTACAATCTTAAAACAATGTGTGTTAATCAGTGAAACATAGAACGATCGAAATTAGCATTTACGCCAATCACGTAACAAGTTTTAAAGTCATGGCCACATCGCATTATTATGACTAGCGAGGTGAATAGGTGGTCTTATTGAATTTCGTGTCACGGTTCGCAGAGCTCCGGATAATCGTAACCATAAGTCTATCGCGTGTTCGGCACACACGATAGATCATTGAATAACAATGATCATTAAACACGCGCAGATCATTGAATAACAATGGCTTTTACAATGGCTCCTTTCGCAATCGGCCGCAACTAGATATTTCGGCACCAATAATCGTATATGCATTTCGCATTTGCTGCGTAGGTGAAATGGGGCCAAGCTTTTCCAAAATAATTTCAAGGTCTCGCGCCACATTTTCTCTCTCCTCCTCCTCCTCCACCTCTTGGAATGTTATCTCGTATTCTAAAGTTAAAATATTCAATTTTCCGTAAGGCGCCTTTTCTCGCGCCTGCCTCTGCGAAGAGCTCGTTTTAACACAGCAATAAATTATCCTTTTTTTCGCCTAAGACAATATTTTCTGCAAAAGGAGAAATGTAAATTGGCTCGTGTAAGTTGACTGACGCGACCCGCGGAACTGCCCTTTGGTCAAGTACACTCCTAAACACTTGCGTGACGTGTGTAAGATCTGTCTAGACTCGAATCCACACAGGGGTCGTGTGCATCTTGAATAATTCAATTCTTATTCTTGCGCGGGGTGGTATGTAAGACGATTTCCTCATCATCGGCCGCGAACGAGGAAACAGAGCTTTCGCTCGACAATATTCAGCGCGATCCTCGCGCGGATCGTTTCAACATTTACGACGGAACACCGAAAAATTATATTCTTATTTTAAGAATATTTCACTTACTTTTATAATATTTTACTCTAAAATAAGCGCTAAAAGAATTGTCTTAATTTAAGAGAGGAGTCTTCTAAACAGGATATTCTTGTCGGACATTCTTTTTGATATTTTTAATGTACCATGTAGTTTTCGTTAATTAAATGTTTTTTTTTTATAAATACACTTACCTTAGTGGGACTCGAACTCGGGACCTCTGGATCGTGAGCCAACTGTCTTACGTGATGGATTACTTCTTAATTTGTTGCAATTAGGTGTTGTATTGTCTACATATGCCATAACCAACGCAGATATATAATTTTACAAAAATTATCATAAGAAACAGGATTAGTTAAAAAAGTAATAAAATCTTTAAATAAACATACAAATATAATTTTAAAAAATGTCGGATCAATGTCGGAAACCAGAGGCTCGACACATAGCATTGGGCCGATCACATATGTATGGTACAATTTAGTATATCATAAATAGTACGTTTTGAGTGAACTTTGGACAACTGAATTATTTTTTACACGTATGTTCAAAAATTGCACAACGATAACATAACGATATAAAAATATTGTATCATACCAGGTAAGATTTGCCAACTTTTGCCCAACGTCAGAACAACCTTGGCAATATTACGGCAACGTGCAACCGACTATCATTATCACGGCGCCGCGGCGCTACATCGGCTCAAGCGAGGGTAGCGGCGTGTGCCAACGCATCCCTTCCAGACGCCTGAAGCCTATCACACAATGCCAGGCAACAGACAATAGGAATAGGAAATACAATTTTTGACGCGTTGGATTTGTCGGAAATTTTCTTCCAATGATGGGCTTAAGTATGGTGGTCGGTCTATTACTGCCTGTGAGCATTGGACAAGAGTCGACTAATCTCTCTTGGGCCGATATCGCGCCGCGATTGGATAGTGATAGCCGTAATAGTCGACTGTTGCCCGATACCTCGACTCACAGGTCGATGTGAGCGACATCATGGTAAAAAGAGCATTCTGCACAGTATCTACACGGATTCGCTTGGGCCGACGTCGCGTCTCGATCGAACAATGACAGTCGGCTTGCCGTGCTATCGTCACTGTCGGCCCTACGTTTCACGTCGAGCAAAGGTCGGCAAACCTTACATGGGAATCCTCACTTTCGCAGTACAATTGAGTAGAGTCAACTACTCTGAGAAAAATGTTCGATTAAATATAATCGGATAATTATATAATAACAAACGGGCATATCCAATTAAATTGTATATCCGATGAAAAATGTGATCGGTTTTTCAATCAAACTTCACAGGTAACTGCATTTCAGCAGATAAATTTCATCGGATGTATCCATAATTTTATCGGAAAACGTAATCGGAAAAATTAATCACCGGAAACACAATTTAATTGCAGTCCTACTGTGGTCGTTACATCGGATGGACGTGCCTTCTAACATAGTTCTCCGAGTGATGCCCAGAGATGGATGTCAAATCTCCTGTGATTTTAGTTTAATATCAATGACGTAACATTATTGTTGAATCCCTTGAGAAGGACCACAACCCGTATGGTCGAAACGTCGGATTTAAATACATAAACCACCTGCCAGCCTAAAGTCGTCTAACAATTCTTTTTATCGTTAATTAATTACTGGCGATTCACATTCTTTCGTTGACAATTTAATTGGTTTATCCGATGAAACGTTTCATTAGTATACGTTATATTTTTAAAACATAAGAAAAAGTAGTATAGACTACACAACTTCTACTATAGTGTTCCAGACTGGTGTTTCCTGTTACATATTCTAATTGAATCTCGAGTAAACAACTTTACGTAATATCGGATATGATCTACTAATCGATCTTACAATTAATTTTCGTTGATAATGCGTTGCGCAGAAATAAACTGGTACAGCAAGAGTTCAATTTTGTATTTAAAATATATTGAAAATACTAAGTCAGCTCTTCTAATTGTTCCTTTAAAAAGTTGCTCATTATATTTTTTACAATTGACCTCCAGTCTTATCTCCGACACGTGCGCTATTACGCAACGACGCAACGCTAAACAAAGTTCTTATTTTAATAAAAACATTGATAACGTATTAACAAGATACCTATTAACAAGTCAGGAATAATTATAGCCTGAGAGACTATTCTGGCTAAATACAGGGCGAGACATTTAATTTACACATCTCGAAGAACTTGTAAATTATAAGTTGTACAAAAAATTGTTACATACAAAAGTTGCGTGACTTTGAGGGGGTTATTTTACCATTACATAGTGTAACAAGGATACAATATTTTATATGAATGTATTAAAATGAATATGCCAATGGCAAATAACTTTTTATTATTATTAACAATGGCTCATTAATTTTACATTTATCTTTAAATTAGGTGTTCGAATCGGTATCCGTTAACATCGATGCAATGATATATACATATACACACACACACCTATAAGATAATTTCAATGAATAAGTGCCAGGCAATCTCCTCTCAAAAAAGTATATTTTCGAAAATATGGATATTGAATTAAAATCCTGAAAGTCAAAATATTGTTATATAATGATTTTATGACGAGTCACTGTATAGTCATTTTGAAGTCGTATAAGGCTTGTTTTCTGTTCCTATACTAGTGAACTAGTGCAATAAATTAGAATAAGATAAGCATATTTTTTCTCATTCTAGTACGGAGAAAAATAATTTGCTGACACAGCAGATTTTTTGCTATTGTAGCAAAATCTGTTCGTTATTACTCGTATATGGACAGCAAGAAGATTTGTTACGAATACTAATCGCAATTTGCTGGATATAATTTGCTGGATTAACAAATTATCCCGAGCAGACATTTTAGTAGGGTTTTGTTGCTCCTTACAGTTTTTAATATGGGGTGGGGTATCAATAGGCTTCCTATTAAAAAATTCACTTTGTAACTAATTGTTAAATTGTGTGAAATTGTGTTAAATCACATAGTCATCAAAAGTATATTCAGGTTATTGAGGTCTATCCATGATCCAGACAACTCGCTCTCGCATCATATCGGCTCGCCTTTAATACTAATACGGGACGATTTTTACTTACGAGAAAGACGCGCGGTCGCCACGTCGCGGCAGTATGTGGTACTAGTGCTATCTATTCATGAGGGAATCAGGCGTATCGGGATTTCGTTGTGACAGCAAATGTATTTGCTAAGAATATATTATTTTGCTTCAGTAGCAAATTTATGTGATTGTAATTACAAATACACTCAGTAAATTTTGTTCTATTCTCGCAACAAAATAGATTTTTTTTAATATAGATTTTGCTATAATGATGAATAATTCATAAAATTAGTTCTATCAACTAAATTTTATTGCTATTACTACGAATATGCAGTAGCAACGGCGATTTTGCTATCACAGCAAAATTATTTTTTTCCGTGAGCTTACTGCACTAGTTCACCAGTGCACAAACAGAAAACAAACTTATAGTTTCAGTAATTAAACTCTAATGTTTTCCCGTCATCTTGACGTCAGAATTTTTTTATAGTTAATAACGTTTAATTAGTTGTTGTGTAATATACTTCTATATATACTTGTACATGTTATGTAAGTTATGTAAGAAAGAAGTGACAGAGCCAGAGGTAAAGCAATATTTTTTTAATTAATCATTTTTTTATCAGTGTAGAGAAAAATTCACACAATATTCAAATAATCGTGAAATATTTAGAATAATGTATGAAGATTACCTCCCAGCGAGAAATAACTCGTCGATGTCGAAACGACGTCGAATTATTTTCCCACGGTTGTATGTATACAGGGTGTCCCATTTTAACTTGGACAGTAACCTATCTCAAAAACTAAGCCCAGTTAAATGTTAAAATGGGATACCCTGTATACAATTGAGCTACCGAGAACCAAAGTTTTAAAACTAAACTTCTTCTTACTTTGAAAAACAAAGTTTTGCGTTCCCATTTTAGATACGTTTCTTCTTTTATAGTATCTTACATTAATATAGTTGTAAATACATAAATTATCATTTAATCAATAAAGCCATTGTCTTAAAAAGTATATGTATACATGCAATCTTTACTGATAATAATATATCGCTTTGAATTGTAATAAAATATATAATATATGGGATATTTTCTGCATAGTTCTCATGAATATCACAAAAACATTTCTTGACTAATGGAACACTTCACGCTTATTTGAATATTCCTTGGATATTCTGTAAATATTTCGGAATGTTTATAAATATTCTTAGGATGTCAATTTAAAATTTTACGAACATTTTATAAATATTCTAGCAATATTTAACGTTTACTGGACATACCTCTGTGGCTCGATCTTTTCAGTTTCACTGTCATGCTAATTTTATTATTCACGTCAGTCGATTATCACGTTGTAAGTATCTATCGTTATTTATTAATATCCTGACGGGAATTGCCCCTCTACTACAAAATAACGTGATTTACATCAGAAAATGATGATGTAAGATATAAAATAAAATATAGAATACATTCGAAAATACGCACAGAATACGACGAAAAGTAATTTGTGCAACTCAAAGAAACCATACCATCAAAAACAGGGCACTCATGTGGTAACGTAGATCCCGTATGGGCGAGATATACTTAAAATATCAAAATAAAACGAGAAATACAGTCTCCTTTTAAATTTTTTCCGCAATTTAATTTTTTAACTTACGACGCGACGACAAGTAACGACAATTTTTATAAACATCTAGTTATTTCTCACTTTTGTCGCGCTAAAGGGCTCACTGTAGGGTTCCGGTTGTCAAAAGATCACTATTCTAGAAAGAAAAACTTTATTGCACGTACCGTCGAACAGTGTCCAATGTTCAGTAATTCCGTTAGATTTTTCTTTTAGTCACTTTCGGCCAGAACTGAAGAATTACTTGAGATATGAAAGATCAGTTGAAAATTTTTCCTAGCAGGTTTCTTTACGTAGCGTGGCGCTGTCTCGTCGATAAAAAAAATCGCCTGCCTATAAAACCGTTAAAACGTATTATTTAACGGTTCAAAAGCAGTACGCGAGAACCAGTTTCCGATCGCACCCTGAGCGCGTGTACCATCGACGCGTGGCACAGTGGACTGAATGTACCGATGCTACGACTTGAGATTTTAACAGAAGTCGGTGGGGGAGTCCGGCAGGACCTCTAGGGTGCCTGGTAAACTCGGAGTTGCTTCCAATAACCACGTGGAGGACGGCACCAACCGGCTTAAGAAAAAAAAACATGCATGAAATCAGAATTCCATTACCAGCTCTTTAATCCGATTCTTTCACAATCGTCGCATAAATGCTATTGATATTTTCTAGCCAGTTATAACTTCGATTTCAAAAAATCGTCTGGGTTTTAATTAACAGTCCAAGATATTAAATTTGCAATAAATATTTGTAAATACCAAGTAACAGTTACATAACATATAACCTCTAATGTAAATATAATATAACATGCGTGTGATATTACATTTACATTTACATTAAACAAATAAATTCTTCACTTTGTACACGTTTATAATGTTGAGTAGGAAATTATAATATTGATGTTATGTAACTGTTCTTGGTGTTTACTGGGTAATATATAATCACATTTGTTTCGCAAATAAGTTTTAATGTCGACTTGAGACAAAAAACTTTTCTAATTTAAATATTAACTTAATGTGTGAGACTTAATAACACATTTGAAGTGAAATTTAATTAAAGTTCGTTATATAATTTCATACATCACTGAATACATCACTAAGCTACAAATTAGGTCTGTTAATGTTGAAGTAAAAGGGTGTAATTTCTAAATTTCCAAACGTGCAATTATTATATCGCAATAATTATGGTGGAAACTGACAACTCTTCCTTTCTACGATACTAACCGCACCTAGTAAACACCAGCGAACAGTTACATAATATCAAATATAATTTTTTCAATAATATAAATGTAACGTAACACATGTAATACATTCATCAGAGTTATGTTGTTGAGTAGGAAATTATAATATTACAGTTACGTAATTGTTGTTTGCTAAGTAAGTTCTTATGAAAAATTTTGCCGTCAAGGAAATTAGCAAAAATAACGAATGATTCTTTGTTACACTCGTTCCAATTACAAAGCTTAAGAGAAAATGAGAATAGAAATTTTATTCTTCGAGATTTCATATAGATTTTATCGCAACTTCGTAAGAACAAAAAGACAAATTATCGACGAGTACAAATTTCAATTTTTTAAAATTCCTGCATTAAGAAATCTGTGCAACACGTAGACAAATACTATTCTTAAAAAAAATATATTAGAATCTCTCGCTTTCTCTCACTCTCACTCTCCCTCCCCCCCCTCTCTCATTCACGTAATCACTTCCTTGCAATATCGAGATACAGATGCTAGGAAAACTCTCTAGTCTTTAAATTAAAGATACTAATAACATTTGTTTTCAAACAGTCCCTAGTAGCACGGTGCATTGGCTAAACATTGGCTAAACATTGGTCCAATGTTGGTTACATTGGAAATGCATTGGCCGATATTGTCCAACGCAAAGCCAATATCCCTAATAGCACTCAAACATTTTTGAAACGTTGCAAAAGTATTTTTTTAAAGATAAAATATTTCTGAAATTATATGAAAAACACATTTTGAAAATATTTCTAAAAGCCCAAATGAAACTAGTGAAAAAGATTTCAGTACAATATTGTTTTGAAAGATTATATAGCAAAATTATTTTTGGAACATTTTCGCAGAACAGAATATCTTAAAATATTCCTGCAATGTTTAAAAACATTTTAAAATATGCAAAAAAATTTTAAACAACAAAAAATTTATATTTTTGTGAACTATTTGAATAAAAATACAAAAAGGAGATTTTTTAATATTACGCATACAACACAGCACGATATCAGCAACATTGTAGCTGACATTTTCGCGGTTGTATGTAAAGAATCGTAAAATCGCGGTCACCCATTCTAGTTTTAACTACCACAGACTTCTATATACATATATGGAAACTTTTAAAATATTTCGTGCCAGGGATTGGCCGTGGAATAAATGTAAATATTGCACAATAATAATTATACAATATTAGATTTATATTGAAAGTGCATTGGTCAATATTTAACAATGTAATAAGAATATTGATCTAATATTGATACAATATTAAACCAATATTGCTAAATAGACATTGGCTAAATAAGAGAAAGCGTCCATCTTACAACATTGGGCCAATATTGAATACTAGATACACATTGATCCCCATTATTGCGCCAATATATTGTGCTACCAGAGGTGTCTCCTGGTACCTTTCGCCGCCCCCTTTCTATCAGTTTGCCGCTTTAAATTCATTAATTAATTCTCACCGCGGGACGAGGCGCCGCGCGGGATAATCACGGCGGTGCAATTATCACGGGGGCCGCGCGCGGCGCGTTGATTGGCCGAGCGACACATCGGGTTCGGCGTGGGACCGCGAGGGCGCGCTCGAGTGCGCAACTCGCACTCGTGCGGGAGCCAGCGGCCGATGGCGACGACCGCCGAGATGTGCCTGCGAAGTTACGTGGTGCCGCCGTGCCGTCCTTAGATCCGCGTCGTGCGTCCCCTCCCCCCTCCTCCCGCGCGGACCGCCGTTGCTTTTCCGCGTGTTTTCCGTCCCTGCAAGACGCACGACGACGACGACGACGACGACGACAACGACAACGACGGCGACGACGACGACGACGTCGACGTCGACGACGACGACAACGACGACGACAATACGTCCCGACGTCGAGCCCGTCGTCGAGTGCGTGCCGCGAATCGTCGCGCGTGAATGCGTTCGTCGGTGTTCGTCGGTGTGGTTGGCGGTGTGGTGGTGTGGTGTGCGCCGTGTCGAAGAAGTGCCGACCAGATCACGGTGGATCATCCGTCTGTACCGAGCGAAGGGGAAAGAAATATGCGTATATAGGTAAATATCCCGGAATGCGTGTAAAATAGAGCAAGAGTGGGAGAGAGAGAGAGAGAGAGAGAGAGAGAGAGAGAGAGAGGAAGAGAGAGGAGAGGGTGCATGTGCGCGAGAGAAACGGGGAGGGAGAGGGGGCGAAAGGTTGGTAAAGAAACGAGGTGTCCGCGTTGCAGCTCACCGCGAGTTGACACTTCCGCGGGAACATGGGTCCGCGGCTACACCGCCAGTCGTCCCCGAGTCGCCAGCAAGCGGCTGCACCGCCGCCGCCGCCGCTGTCGTCATCGTCATCGTCGTCGTCGTCGTCGTCGTCGTCCCGGCGTCGTCGTCAGTAAACACCGAGCACCGACGGATATACAGAGTGAGTCATTGCTCCTTTGCTTTCGTCCGTTCGCCGCCTCTTGCTCGCCTCCCGCGTTCACCGTCCTCTTTCTCTTCGCCGCCTTCCTTCGTCTTTGCCCTTTCAGTCTCCTGTGATCTCTGACCGTCGCTCGCACAGTTCCTCTCGGCGCGATACCTGACCCTGACCTCTCCGCGTTAACAACCGAGCGAGCCCTGCAGGCACATCTAGTCCTTCCGAAAGGATCCCGGCCGTTCCGCGTATCAGGACGATTCCCGGCACAGTTCCGGGGACTTTGGAGGTCAACGAGAGAGAAGACACTCGCGCCGCTTTGCGCCTCAAAGCGCTCCCGACCGCGGCAAAGCTTGTTTGTGCGCACTTCAAAGGTCCGCGCGACGTTACCTGGATTTCAACCCCGGGGCCCATTGTAGTGCAAATTTTCCACGAGCGTTCACCGCGCGCCTCCTCTTCTCTCCCTCCATCTCTGTCTCGTTTTCTCACCATTTCGATTTTCTCGCGTGAAAAACTAAAAGTGCTCTCAGCTGTGTACGTTTAAAATATTTATCCGGAGGTATTAAAAACTTTTTTTTAAATATGACACCATGGATAACGATGGTCCGTTGTGAATGAGCACATCAGGGACGTCGAGAAGGGTTTTGGGTGAACCTCTTGTTTACTTCTTCTTTTTTGCTTACGGACAGTGGCAGAATCGTACGAGTCCACAGCTGCGTGGTTTAACCCATTGCTCTCTAGAAACACGTTCTATTTTATATATAAATAAGTCGAAACGCTTAAAATATTTGCCGACAATGTACGACTGTACAGTGTGTACTATACAATTTATACGCTTGCGCAAATTTTTTAAACGTAGAGGAAAGTCCCCTATTATGAGACAGGATCCTAACACGGGATAGCGGGGTTTCCGTTAAATTAACAAGCATCACCAGTTGATTCCACCGTGAATTTATTGCCCTTTGAGCGAAATCTGTCTAGTGGAAAAATCACCGTTGGATCGTGCGATCGTTGCGAAAAAGATTAGTGATTGAATTTGGATATTAAAAACCTGCTATCTCATATTGGAAACCTCCCTTATAATAGAGGGCTTTCCTCTATTATTGACTGCAAAATAGAGTGTTTCTGGCCGCAAAGAGCACATTGTAGATTAGGCTTCAGGTCTCTCAAGGCCCTGTTTCACCAAACGTCATTTAACTTTAATTTTCGTCCGTTTTTTATATAAAGTCGACCATTATAGTCCAGATTTTGCTGCGTACTTCAATTCCGTAAAAGAGAATTTTGCATTTCTATATAGCCAATTAAAAGATTGCTTCTAACAAAGAATGTCGATAAAACAGACTGCTTTAGGATCCCCTTAAAGTGAAGCAACTGTGGTGAAACCGGGTCTAACTCGTAAAAGTAAGTTTCTTCGCCACATTTGTAAGATGTGAGACAAGATACTGTTCGTTATCGGCGTGCGCTCAAACAAATATTCGAAATCTTAATTAAGGAAAAAGTAATTTTGTATAAAAGATTGTACCAGCGGGGTATCTGCTCCAGTTAGGAATCTAAGAGTCGGGGGGGATTACAGGCGCGTCGCGACTGAATTATCCGAGTCGGAAGTGCCGGCGAGCCTGTTTGAGCCTCAAGAATTATATACTATTATTGCGATCGCGAACACGGAATGCCGACGTCTTCTTTGAGAGCTCGGTTCATTAAAAGTGGGCTGCCAAGTTCACAAGCGCGTACATGTGCGCGAGCGGACGCGTATCGGCGGACGCAGCCGTGCGTTTTCTCGAGCCGCGGTGGTTTTCTGCGGTCGGTGCTTTCGTTTCGACTGGTCGCGGTGCTTTTTCTTCGGCCCGTTCCTCGCTCGCCGCGCCGCGCCGTGCCGTGCCGCGCCGTCGATGGCCTCCTACTCGTGCTTCGTATACCGGGTGTACTCCCAGTCTCGGTCGGGCTCGAGAAACGATTTCTCGGTTCCAATTGTCCGACCGTTGGCGTAACTCGGGAGAGAGAAAGAGCGGCGTAACGAAGGATCGGATATTTAACGTCCCATTGACATTTTGAGATACGAGCGTCTCCGCTCGGGGACTTTGATCCGCGCCGACTCTATCGACCGCGCTCCTCGCTTCTTCCCGTACGGATCTTCAAAGCGCATACCCCGTGCCGTTGTTCTCTCTAGCGGACAGTGCGCTCGTATTTCCGGAAGCGTGCGGGAGAGACGCGCGCTGACGTTTACGCGAAGAAAGCGCGGCGCGGCGACAAAAGCGACGTTGACGTTGACGCCGACGTCGACGTCGTGCTGCGCCGAGGGCACAAGGCAAGGATAATGATATTACGGCTTAAAGAGACGGCTTAACCTAACCGTTAGTTTATTGGCGTGAAGGAGTCGCGGAGCGTGTCTACATCAAAGCGGCCGCTTCCGAGCTCCACTTTGCCCTGCCCCACTTGTCGCCGCCGCCGCCGCCGCCGTCGCAGTCGTCGTCGCCGTCTCCTCCGGCCATCACTACCACCACCGACGCCTCTGTCCGCTTCACCGAACGACGTATGCGAGCGCGGCACCCTCGACGGAGCGCGCCGTCCGTGTGGCTGTGTCTATCTATTAACACCTATTAACATCTGAAACGGGACACGCAACTGGCACGGCCATCGGTCCAGCGCCGAGATGCGAATCTCGCGGCGGCGACGACGACGACGATGACACGCGGTCATTTGTCGGGGGACTTTCGGATAAATTACGGATTCGAGAATACACCTGTCGACTTTCTTTGCGGATCAACGTTAAAATCGAGGATCGAGCGCGCGGCACTCGCGTGGAACAGCGCGGATCAGGGTTCATTCAAAATCGAAGACCTCCGAGAATTCTCGGCGCGCAAGCTATCCGGCTTTGTGAAACGCCGCGACGATTACTATTTAGCCGTGCCGTCCGTCCCCCCCCTCCTCTCTCTCTCTCTCTGCTTGGGACTCGCGTCCTGTCTTTTTATTTACTCCCGCGGCGGAACGGCCGACCGGTAATAGATAAAACACGGGGGAAATCTGCCGCGGTGGCTCACGCGAGCGGAGGAGACGCGCGTGGCCCACCCTCCGCGAAGGCGCTGGGGCGGCCGAGGGGGGAAGGAGAGGGAGAAGAGACGAACGGCACGCATGGCGGCACGGTTTGGGAATCCCCCCGGAGCACCGGAGCACGACACCGCTGAAGCGTCGACAAAGTAGCTGCTCGGGCTCTCCTCGTCCTCATCCTCCTCATCCTCCTCATCCTCATCCTCCTCCTCCTCCACCTTCGCGGTCGTGCCATCGCGTTTGATACCACGTGCTCCTCGTCGGGATAAAAAGCGGCCGACATCGACAAAGCGAGAAGGGGGAATTCCTCCCCATTTCGATATCAAAGACTCTCCAGAACCGCTAAAACGATGCTCTTTGACATCACAAAGCTTTGGCGTTCCTCCCCTACCCCCTCTTAACCTTTCTCTTTGCGCTCGCGGTGTCGCCCACGCTCTTTCTCTCCACTTTTCTCGAGTCCGTTTCTTGTTTGCCGCAAACGCGCCCGCCGAGGAAAGTGACTTACGTCGTATATACACTCGGTGCCGTCAACGTCGTCGGCGTTGTCCTCGTTCTATAGGCAATATTTTCTCACTGAAATCGCACCGCGGGTGTAGAGGGGGGGAGTCTTCCTTTAAAGCGCCGCGGCTCCTCGTGAGATACCGTCTTTCCTTAATCCACTCACGTGCACGAGATTTGGGTGTAGCATTTTTTTTTACCATGCGCGACAAGGAGACTTAAACGCGCCCCGATTGACGATTTCGAAATCTATTCTTCTCCCGACAAGCGTGTAAAAGTGGATGTAGAGGCAAGTCCCCTATTATGAGATAGCAGGTTTCCAACATCCAAATTCAATCACAAATCTAACTATGGGTGCTTTCCAATTGCAATATCCTTAGACACTTTCGTGCACACGGTGACACAAATGGCATTCCAATTGTCACAATTGTCGATAAACCTCTACACATTCGTACGTACTCAGCCCGAGGGCTACTACTCGCCTATTGGGTAAACTCAGGTTTGGGAAAGTTACTTTATAAAAGTATCTAGTTTACAGTTTTTTCGCTAAAAATGTAACTAGTTACAGTTACAAGTTACCAATTCTGGAAAGCAACGCGTTACAGTTGCAGTTGCTCAAACAGTAACGAATCGTTACTTTGCTGTTACTTTCTTGCAATGAAAATAAAAATATCAACCTGTGCACGTTTGGGTTAAAAAGTTTAAAATAATTGGAAAGCACCCTATGTGTCTTCCACTAAACAGATTTCGCTCCGAGGACAATAAATTCACGGTAGGATCAACAGACGACGACTCTTGATTTAGCAGACACCCCGCTATCTCATATTAGATGCCTACCTCATAATTTCATCTGTATACTCTTAAGAGAAATCGTTTTGTCGCTTTAACGACATTAATTGTCGCGGCACGTGACGATTATCGCGGGACGCGCTGCCTCTAACGTAAACCGGAAGTATCGGGCGTTCCTCTGCGAGCCGCGAGAGGGAAACAGCATGACGTAACGTCATCCGTCATCTGTCTCGTCTGGGTGCAATAATTGCCACTGTATCGCCGGCCGGTTCTCTCTCCATTGTTCTCCGCACGCCCGTTTCTCCTCGATTCCTCCTCCCCCGGGTCTCTCTCGCCACTTGGGCTTCCTCGGTGTGTCGCTTCATCGCCGCCCGCCGTTCCGGCCGCTTTGATTCGCATATCTATCGCAAAGCTAGCCGCCGGGCGACGCTAATCGCCCGGTGAATTCGAAGTGCGCTCCCGCTCGAGTGCTCTCGCCCTCGGAGCGAGCGAGCGGCGCGCTCCTTCTTTCGAAAGTGCCGCGTCGACGAGGGGACACCGATAAAGCAAGAGCACAATGAGACACAGGGTGTCCTGTAGCTTTGAAAGGATACCTCAACGTCGACTAGCCGACTAATTCGTTCCGGGCAGAAATGCTATGGCTCTTTTGTGAAGCTTTGCGATCCTGCTGATTTTGG